TCTTAGGGGTCCGGGGACATGCTCCCTCGAAATTGTTGTGTTCTAGACGCCCGAAAATAATATTTGAGGCGTTCTGGGCTATCATTTTTTTTCTTTTGAATGCTCATTAAAAGAACCACACTGAGACTAGTTTTGAATGATTTATACACGTTTTACTTCCTTCAAAGGTGAACCAGGCCTAGATGCAAAAACAACCAGAAATATTTACAATACAATTGTTAGAATGTACCGGGCCTATTTTCTCGGGGTTTTTTTTCAGTTAGAAAATGTTACCAGTAATTCTTATTGAAATAATTAATTATTTTAAAACTAATTCTTTTCATAGGCCTATGTGGCAGTGGTAGTATATCTTTATTTAAATTAAATCTGTTGGGAATTAACTGATGTTTTTTTCAATCCTTCGATCCACAAAAAAAAAAAACATGCGTGGGAGCATTAGGCATATTAAGGGATTTGTTTTAAAGACTGTGAACATGTATTTATTTTTTTTTTGCAATCGTGAAATAGGCCTAGAATTTACATCGCTCACTTCCCACAATAACATTTCACGATATTTCAAGGTTTAAAACTCCAAGTGCCATGGCGAAGCAATAACTTGTAGTTCGCATTTATTCAATTAATTAAAAAAAAAAAAGAAGAGATGTTTCAATTTTTAAAATTTCACATCCAACAGCAAGTACACACTTGCCACTTACAGCATGGACCTACAGGATGGAACGATAGTTTATAAACAAAGTCTCTTTACGAGGCTTTGGGTGTGCAGTTGTTTGGAGTCTTGAGAAGTTCTGTGTTTGCCACAATCAATTATGTCTCCTCAACTGTTTGGGATTATTCGTAGAGGGCGGTGTCAGTTTCACGCATCAGCACACGCATCGTCGCCCACTGGATTGTTTGTTGTCAGAAGTTTTAAGAAGAGAAAACGTTTGAAAATACAGTGCAGTATATTGCTATGTCGGTTTTAGTAAAAACATTGACCGTAGGCGGCTGGGTTGGTGTATTTTCTGTTCTCGGATGGTCATTAATGAAATTTGTAACTCCTTCTAGGGAAGACATGCTTAAGGCAAGTTAAATAAATGAGGCTAGGCCCTACTAGCCTAGGCCCACTCTTTTCTCTCTGTCTGATCATGACGATGAGGCAGGCTAGCCATGCCGTACCTTTCACGGTAGAGCAGCGACAACCCGGAGCAGCTCAAACTCCAGACTACGCATTCGCCGTAAGTCTTATGCATTCCGATCAAATCTTACGCAGTCAAATCGATCAGTCTTACGCAACCACCGTCAAAACTTATGCTTATCCTAAATTTTGAGTAGATTTTCTTTTTCAATTTGTAATAAATTTTACTAATAACTATAACATCCACCATAATAACAAACATTCTACCTCCATGTTGCAATAACTACTGTATCTGAGATGAGATAATAATAAACAATAATAATAATAATAATAATATAAACTCACTAATATCAATTAGATATGCCATTTAGGCGCTAATGCACTTTTGCAACTAACTTTTAATTCTTAATTTTTTTACCTCAATGTTTTCTCAGTCACAACATATGTAATTATAAAACATTTTTACATGATACAACCACTCACAAAGTACATTTTTCAACGAAAAAGATACCTTTATAAATATAGGTTGATACAGCGTTTCCGTGCTTGCTAGCACCGACGAGCTCTCTCTACTCTATTTTGCAATCAGTAAGAAATTGCCAGAATGTCCGAGTCAATTCTTAAAATTTGAAACAATTACTAAAGGGCAGTGCATCAAAATTTTTCCATGAAACATTCGACAACAAAATGTGTCTCTCACCCACGCACCTGTCTCTTATACACATCTAGATGTGTATAAGAGCAGGACTCCACCATTGTGCAAGTAGCCAATTATTTTAGCCGGGAATACTGCTTTAAAAAGGATTTTTCCAGTCATCTAGAGGTGCTTTGTTCCAAACAAAGGTGAATTTCTGGTGCTACTGCAGCTCACAACTTTATTGACTTGAAAATACATATTCTTCTCTCAACTGTGAATTATACAATCATCATTTTCTTCGCAGGTGCTACCAGAGCAAAATCCAGAATATATGACAGAATCAAGGAAGCGTTCACAAGACTTTTTAGACGTGATAAAAGCAGCTGCCGAAACAGATAAGGCAATTCACTACAGGGACAACTTTGAAGATCTGAAGGCGAGTTTGAAGAAAGATTGAACACATGCACAGGGCATACATCATCCTAACACGGTGCAATTATATCTGCCTTTGTTCCCCGCAACTTTTATATAGCCGATAACATATCTGTGTCTTGTTCAATCTTCTCATTTAAATCATTATTTTAATTAAAAGTTGTCTGTGGGTTTCTGACACAATCTATGATGTTGTGGATTAGATGATATGCACCTCTGTCACCAGTTGCCATGATGAGACATTTTGGATAGCAGAAAGCTGTAGGAGTGTGTCTAAAAGCACATTATGAAACAGAGTAACCAACATACACCAACAATTATGAAGCTGTTTGACTTTTCAACTACATAAACATTTTTATATAAAACTTAATTATGAACATGTTTGCTTTTGAGTAGAGTTACAATACAGTATTTAGTTATGTATATAATTTTGATGACCATTGAAGTTCAAGAGTCGCACAAGCATACGAGGCAGAAATCAAATCAAAAAGAAAAAATGTGTATGTCAAGGACTGGCAATAAAATACTACTGCACTTTTTGATAAGATGAATACATCCGAAGACTTATTTTTATTAAATTTATTATTAAATACAGTTTACTAGTGTACTCTATACTCTATACCTACGGTCGGCAACCCATGGGTCACAACCCAGGTTTGGGTAGCGGGTTAAATTTTGAGGGTCATCAGGTCACATATGGGTCCCAAAAAATAATAGAAAAGGTGTATAATAATACCCTATTCAGACTACACTCTGTTGCGATGTAATCAGTAGTAATCCAAAACTGATTACAGTACTCCTGATCGCAATCAACGAACGCATTCAGACCAACACAAACTTTACATTCTAGGGCCTAGGCCTCCGGTGGCTAGGCCTATGTTGACTGACCTCCGCCAAACAGTGCCTGTTGAATTCGTTGCGATCGGATTCCGTGGTAATCGGGAATAATAAAGATTGTAGCACCCAATCGCAACGGGTAACAATTGCAATATTGATTACATATCGACTATTTTTGGTGAGCTTTCACACACGATTTTACTTTGCGATTGGGTGTCGCAATTGCTACAATCGATCGCAATGCGATGCTAGTCTGAATGGGGTATAAGTGTTGCAAATAACCAAACCAATGGATTCATGTGAAAACATACCCATAACTTAAAATTTTGTCCTTTTTTTTTTCAAAATTGTGTTAAATGTCTGGTCGTTGTCACCTGATTCAAGAACTGATAAATTTGATAAAAACGATATAGCTTATGGAGGATTTGATGTCTTCAAAAACCTCTGTAATTTGCTGGTAGAAACACTAGTCTATATCGAATGTGTAACCCGAGCAGGGCTGAATTTGATATTTCCCTGAGGACCAAAGAACAGCAATTGCTTGGATTTAGGGACCATTTTTAATGCCAATATCAATGTATCATAATGATATATCTATGGAGAATCAATTGAGGTGGCGGCAGCTCACGCTTGACGAGCTGCTTTCGGCACCAGACAGGGTCAAGCGGCTATCGGGTTCTTGGTGCCATTTTCCACAATGAAATTTTGTTACAAGATAAAAAATATTATTTAGATATCGACCGTATGTTGTCTAAGGGGTGGGACGACTCGAGGCTTTTTGTCTTGGGAAGCCATGGCAATTTATTTTGGGTCCTATTGGTTGAAAGGTTACAGACCATAGCTCTATACACAACCATTTTACTCAAATTCAGTGAGTCTGTAAAGATATTAACACCTATAATACTTGCAATCGATGATGCATATACCCTAGTGGTGTCGTCTGTCAGTATTTATTCAGATTCAGATATTATACAATACAGTGTTTTATTAAAAGATATAGTACTTGACATTCATTAATGATTGTTCTATCCATTCAAATTTTGTAAGAAAATAAAATCAATTAGCATATCCTATCTCAATTGAGTAATGTTATATCATAGAGAAAATATTTTCTCTATGGTTATACATACTCCATGACAGGTAACTTAAACCTTTAATTGTTTACAAACCCATAACGTCATTTTCTAAACAATTTTGTCACATTTTTAATATAGATGTGAAAAATACCCGAAACTAATAACAAAATATATTTATTCCATGTTTTCTTCAAGTCGACTTTGAATACCGTTTTGAAATTGTTCTATAAAATTTCTGTCGATTTCTCCTAGATGACGTATGAATTTATCGCGTTCAAGTTGATTCCATTCTTCAAACCAGCTTGTAAAGAGTCTCAATTGGCAGGTAAAAATACTTGGAGGTTTATCGTCAACATTAAAAGACTGCATCGCATCAAACAATGTAGTTACGTCCGCAGGGACAGCTTTATTGATCAGATCTTTTAGGAAGTATTCTTTTTGACGTTTGCTCCATGATGAGAACCAGTGATACATTGTAGTTTGTTCATTTTCGACTACTGAATGTGCCATTTTTTTTTGTAATGTTCAAAAAGCAGTTCCAAAAACAAATTTTGGATTGCTTTGGTTACCCCATCAGCTAATAGAGTCTGGGCTGCTCCACCAAGAGTACATCATAGAGGACCTAAAGAATAACATATCAACATTAAGTGAATCACAAATGGATTTTTTTTTAAATATAACATTTAAAAATGAGATTCAAAGCCAGAAACTGTACTTTTACATGTTTGTTCCGAGTCATACTCATCAGTGTTTTGTCAGACCAATACATATATCACAACATTACAGTCATACAGTGCCAGATATAATTTATCCAATTATCTCATACAACAATAATACAGCAACTTTTATTTCATTTCGTTTATTTGTCAAGCAACAACAATAGTCAATACCTACCTGTACAAACAATTTACAACAGACCTTAAAAAAGGTACGGGATAAACAAAACGCAAACTAAATTCAATTGCTGTATAAAGTTTCTCCGTTTATATAGCTTATTAATATCTATCTACAAAATACTATTGATTAATAACCCATTCTCAGTCTGCCAATTTCACAAATTTAACAAGTTAAACAGGTCTTTGCGAGGGGCGGAGAAATCAGGTCTGACGTCAAGGTGAACTCACTCTTGTTTTGCTAGATCACTGCTGCTGTGGCTTAGGCGATGGTCCTTGGCCTATCTTATCTGTTATTTAACGCGTGGGAAAAAAACAGTAATAGGGCCCTAGTACGACTTTTTCTCTTTATCGCTTTTTATATTAATAAATAAATAGAACTTACTCTTATAAACCAACTTTATAACCATGTTTTAGTACGTCAAATGTGGTATGGAATTCGTAAACATCCACGATTTCTATGATGATCCGCCAGTCCTCAACTTTGACCCCTGACACGAAGATTAAACTCAACTTAACAAAATGGCTGCGCCCACTGTGGAAGTAGTTATTGCGAATAAGCAGGGTGAAACCAAACGATTTACATCCCCAACCGTGGCATCAACTGGGAATTTGAAACAGTTGAGTGTGTCTTTAAAAGAAGTTCAAAAGGAAACCAATGCATATTTAACCGAACTTGTAGATCAAGAGAAAGCCTTGTTAATAAAGTCAAATTTGCCATCCGGTAGGTAACGTAGGCCTCCTCTCTCTAGAGTAGATGGCCCTCTCTCCCCTAGAGTAGCTCTTGCCCACTCTCTCTTTTCTTGCACTGGGCCTAACCAACTGTAACCTTGAAGAAGCAGGCTGCCTTTCTTATTTGAAATGTGTATGAGCTCTATAAATGTTGTTTACTGTATCATTAATTATTATTTACTTTTTATAAATACTTTTACTTGCTCTCTATTTATTGTATTCTTATCTTAATACAGGCGATATGGATGATGATCTTGATGGAGAAGATGAGGATGCAGACAATGGAGAAATTACCAATGCAAATGAACCTGCACAGAAAAAGCTGAAGACATGAAGAGCCCTGAATATGAACTTTGACATTTTGCAAGAACAAGATGGGCCCAGAAAATGGGGTCATTTAAGACGTTATCCTACCCGCGTGTAAATTGTGAGAATTAAGATGTCCATGGTGTTGTCTGGAAGCCATGGAATACAGTTTTTTCTGTGGCAAAAATATAGTATATTTTTGTATTGACCCAATCAATCAGTCGCTGGAATGAACCAATTAGTAATATGCGCCGTTTTTATAAAAAGAATGGGAAATATTAGTTTGAGTGATGATTTTAAACTAATGAAAGAAGCAGGTGTTTATTATCAAAGAAGAAATTTGTGTATTGGACATTAGTGTAACTCACGAAGCAGTAGGCCTACTGTTATTTCAAATGACTGATATTATAAAGCAGACTGTTCCATGGCCTTTGAGTTTCAGTAATGAATAAGCGATCTCCGCAAATGTACTTTACTATTTTTTCTCAATTCCTCAGTAATTTATGTTTATATAATATTCAATATGATTTGCAAATAGCGTGACAATTAAAAACATCATTATACAGCATAGCAATGTGAGCCAACAAAATTAATTGAAAATTGCATATTTTTGTTTAAAATACTCTCGTCCAACATTTACTTTTTTAATGAAGGTATGAAAGTACTGTATTTTAATATTTACTGTAATTTTGTGCAAATTGACAGGAAATCAATAAATTTGCTTTCATATACAACAAGTTGTTGCTCGTATATTACTCGTACCCTCGTAACGATACCGTCCTTCATATAGTCGTGAAAATAAACCCCTCACTTTATTAAATTAGGCCTATATAATTTATTTACCTCTCGATACACAGATAATACATTTTCGTTGATACAAACATTACTACAAAACTCTTAAATTCCTTACAAGCCAATAGACGCGACCTTTCCGAAGTGTCAATCAAACTTAACAACCGACCAATCAGAACAAGGCCAAGAATACGCGCGTGTCCTACAAAAAACGTGTTTTTACCACTGATCATAATACAGGCTATTAGAGATCATTCTTTTTGCACTCGTTTTGTAGGACCTCGGCAACTTATCAAAAACCTTCCCGCTAAGCTAGGCTTAGCGGGAAGATCCATTGAAAAGGGTCTGTACGTATTATTCTTCGGACTTACCGGGTTATCCTTGGTGTGATCATATTGTGATTAAAAGTGCTCAATTAGCGAGTTTTGTTTTTTTTTTTTTTTTTTTTTTTTGAGTTGAAAGCCATGTTCAGACAGCTTTCTCTCCAAAGTATATTTAATAAGATAAGATAAGTATTTTTTGGTGTGAATCAAATTATGGATAACACAGGAAGCTTGAAGACTTGTTTTGGGATCCTTCTGGTGGTGAATTGGGCAGTACATGGGGAGGCAATCCCCTACTCTTTTGATATTGGGCGTATTCGATTGGTACAATCCAATTTAGAATAGATGTGTATAAGAGACAGATATATCGTGGTGCATGTTATTTGCCCTCCCCACTCCGATACGATCGAACAACATAAAATAATAATAATAATAATATGTCGCTCTTATATAAAATATTGGCCCATAATTTAATTCAAGTATAGTATTTGTATATACGAGCATTCCTGTAGCGCAAGTTGTAAAATGTATATTCTTACATGGATAATTTTATGAATGTCACTATATAAATAATTGCACAAGTCAACAGATGGGAGATCAAGGGTAGTAGCTCCTCTTCCCGGCAGCTGCCAAAAATGCTAAACAAGTGTGAATATATTTAAATTATTAAACCTTTGGATACCAAGGGCTACTCTCATTTTTCCAAAACCACTTTCAACACTCCTTCGATTGGAACTCATCTCTCACCTGCCCACCCCTTCCCCCTAAAAGACATTGCTGAGTCCTCCCTGGCGAATGTTCCAGTGACAGACGTAAATCATAATAGGCCTAATTTGATAAGCTATAGTTCTATTCAGAAGGAAAATGGAACAGGAGGTTAAAGAAGAAGAAAATACGTTGGAATCAGGATTAAAAGAATGCATTGACAACATCATGGCGGAGAGTGAGACGACGGAAGCAGTGGTGGCGTTGCATGAAAGATTTAGGGTAGGCCATTATATTTGTTTGAATTTTTACATTACTTTTTATAATTATTAATATTTTAATTATTTATTGATATAATATTCATTTTCGGAATAGGTCCAATTAATTGCCTCGTTTAATATCTTCATGAATGCTGTAGGCCATGACGGTGATGATTATGATGGTGGTGGTGATGAGACTGATATGATGATACGACTGATGGTATGGTGATGGCGACGAAGAAGACCACGATAGTAATGATGATGATGATGACGACGATAAAATGATGATGATGATTGACGACGATGATAATAATTATTATGACGACACTGATGATGACGATATGATGATGATGACACTGATAATTATGATGATTATGAAGATGATAAGATGGTGATGGTGAAGGCCATAATTACTGTCAACATTTAAACAAAATCATTGCCAATTCACTCATCATTAATTAGGCGTATTATTCTTCTTTTTACGTTTTTTTATGCGTCTTCACCAGTAAGCATTTGTATCTTGTCTTTCCAGATGCTTAATATGATGTTCAATGATTGCCTTGACTACTACAGAAATCGAAAAGAGCGTCAACAACAGCAGCATTCTGAGAACGAAATCCAGCGATTATCCGAACTAGCAACGCAAATTTCTATAATTGTTGTTATAGTTTGCTGGTTGTTACAGATATTACAAGTGTTTTTTATCACGTGCTGATCTCCCAGAGATCCCGTCAGTGTATGATTAGTTATGATTAATTTTTGAGTGACGCGTTTAAATAGGCCTAAAATGTTGATGTCACGTTTCTGACATTTATACCTTTATCATTGGTCTTGGCGATCTTCTGTATAATATGATTATCAATATGATTATTTATTTTATATTATTATTATTATTATTATAATTATTATTATTATTATTATTATTATTATTATCATCATCATCATCATTAATGATTATTATACCATCATTATTATTATATTATTAATATTACGGTATCATTATTATTAACATTATTACTATTATTACTGTATTATTATTCCATTATTATTATTATTATTATTATTATTATTATTATCATTATTAATATTTCTGTCTAGTATTATTTGACTCTATGTGGAATGTAAATTTCCCTTTGAAATCAAGTGGAATTAGAGTGAGTTTTTGATTGAATTCTTCACGCAGCAGTCGATACAGACGGAAATTTGTTGTGGCCTATTTGATAATCAATTGGGCCTCCTCAAGAAAATAATTAGAAGAACCACTATTTCTCGAAGCTGCAATTACTTGTGTCTGTTTCCGGGAACCTTGTCTGTCTTCTCCCTTACCTTAATGGTTTCGGGAAGTTGCCACCGTCGCTCTCGCATCGACCTCATCATCGCTGACATATGCTAATAAAATAACCTCCCACTTAGGCATCGAATATCATTATTTTTTCTACCGACGTGGACTTGCACTTGATTGAGAGTGTCTGATTTTTCACATAAAAACTACGATGTCTTGGTCGGTCAGAAGTACACCGATAACCGGCGTAGAGTCATCGGAATTTGTACACGACATTTTAAAGGTAAATTACAACTTTCATACTTTATTTGTTTCAGGGTTTATCTCATGAACTTGGCTTTTTACCGCTAACGTCTTGTACCATATCTTGAATGATAATTACAGTAGTTCGGTGTTGAGTACCCCTGTGGTCGTGAAGAGTATTAGTTTAAAACTAATTCCTCGTGGTTAAATCCTAGGCTTTAAAAAAGCAATTTACTCCGTGTAACAAGTAGTGCATGGTTGAACTACGATACTCGTTAGATGTAGTGCGGTGTTATTAGTCCAGGGTACAATGGAATATAACCCTAGTCCCATACCTTGCATTCCTTCGTGTTCCGAATAGGTACCTTCTGAAACGTAATGTAGACCAAGTACAGTAGACATATTATGACGTCATGGTGCAATTTTCTTGGGAATGCGTGACGTCGATTTTCACCTCTGTCAAATTGTAAACTATTGGCCGATTAACTATCAGTATAACTACTGTAGAACGCTGTTCCATGAGGTGAAATTATAATTATTGTAATACAATCCAATTTAGAATTCATATTATTATAGTGTTTGTTAAAATTCATTTTTTCCATGCCTTAAATAGTTCTATATTTGTATACACTATCACAATTATTAAAGGAAATGAGACGATGGCTAAGTAAATAATTCAATTTTATAGTTTTCATTGTTACAAAATTCACTGCTGTTTGTTTTTCTGTCCGCCGTGTTGTTTGTCTGTCTGTCTGTCTGTCGTTCTGTTAGCAAGATTACGCAAAACTAATGAATCGATCATCATAACAATTTAGTGGAAAAGTACATAATAAAATCGAAGAAAGACGCTATTAAATTTTCGAAAGGAAAGATCAAAGGAAAAGTTCAATGTCACGGAAATTCGATTTTTTTTAAATCGTCAAGTATAAAAGAAAATAATGGAATCGTCCCTCGTAGACAAGAAAACATATGTGTCGGAATACGACGGACGATTCCATTATTTCCTAGAGGGTATGCTGCATTTTCGGCCATCATACCCGGCCTGCGTATTGTTGTTATCGTACAGGTATACACACTGGAGCGCCTGCTCTAGTTTAATATGTATAACTTATAGACCATTCTTTTATTTTGCATATACAATTACAGTAGTCCTAATTTTAGCGCAATTTCTTGATGTTAAATTTAGTCTGATGGTAAACAGTGAATCGTTGGTCGAATTAAAACTATAAGTAATTCACAATACTTTATTTCAGTTGAGGAGAGAAGAAAAGATGAAGCAGGAAATTTACCAGAGAGTTATCAACGAGCCTGAGTATAAAGACAAGAGGGTTGAGCTCGAGGAAGGGATGGAGCGGCTTCGTAGGAAGATCAAACACATCCAAGAAATGAACTTGAAAACTCCAAGTAAACACTGGGACGACGTATTTGCATTTTTAGAAAACACAACCATTTTATTATTTCTTTTATTATTACTATTACACGTGTGTAGGATCATTGTAGTGATGCTTCTGCCTGAACTGTTCTTGGAGTGCGTTCTAGAAAAAGGTGTCTTTGAGCCTAGTAAATTCGGAACGAACTTTAATTTATCTTGGACAATGTTGTTTGGTGGTTATCCGTGTGTACCTGTATATCTGAACTGTGCTGATGACGACCAAACCTGAATACATACGGTATTCTACCGCCAGTGTCAAGACATCATTCAAAAAATGATCTTCGGCAACCATTACAGTACTAGACCTGTAATAATTGTATAATGAGAATTTATTTGATTATTATTTAATTAATGTATTTAATCAATCTATTTAAATTATTCCCCCACGCGGTGGTATTATTTCGTTTACTGTATCTGGTTAACTATTATTGGCTCGTCTTCGCATGATAGAGAATCAGGAACAGAACATGTTGACTTGGTATCGTTGTACAACAGGAACTGAATACAATAGGAACCAAAAAAATAATGTTAACAAGGATGTAATTTTATAGAAATAAATACTTTAGTGGTACACGCCGATACACTATTCAATTTGTTTTATGAAGAAAAGCGTGCATCTTAAACTCTGCCCATGCTATCAAGTGACAAATAGGCCTATCTGTGATTTACCCCCATATATGGGCATGGCGATGTCATATCACATTCATCTGTATATTACTGTATCGTCAGATAAAAATGGTAGGGACTAGATGTCATAATGTGTTCGGTGATTATTAGCATCGACAGCACACATTGTTGATCAATCAGGCCTATGGGATGAATGAGATCACAATGGCGGATTCAGACGAAGAAGGGGAGGTGTCGTACTCCTCTTTTGACCAGCAAAACTGTATTTTTTCTCGTAAAAATCGATTCCAATTCTCCTGATGACGATTGCATTTATTTTTATCCACTGAATAAATAATTACAATTTAGAATTTTGCCTTTTATTTATAGCGTTTTTGCACAATTTCGAAAATGCGTTGTTTTCAGTACTACGTGGCGAAATAAAGCTCAGACGATTTTCTGGTGTTTCTGTGCGGCAACTTGAGCTTTGACTCTTGCTTTAACAGTTGACGATTTTGTTCAAATCACTCATGGAAATGTGTTAAACGCGTAAACTTTTCTTTTTGGCATGTTCAACAAATGTCCACGTTTGGTCCCGATTGGTGTCGACGCAATTTGCTAGAATAACAGCATCGAACTTTCTCGTTAAACACAACTTGTAGTGCTGATGTGATATCATGTGACGACTCTGATAACAAAGAAAAATATAGAGAATTAATATGAAACTGGTAACTAACATAATTAAACTACTACTGTACTTGACATGCCAATGTTAAAGTAATGCTTGATCAGAATTTTTCATTTTTTATCATCGATTTTTTTCGTATACGTATGCCCCACTTAATATCCTACTCACTATGCCGTACGGCCAGCGACCGACGAATCCAACTTCGCTCATCGCTTGACGACGTCTGCTGAATTGTCGATCGCAGTCTAAAGCCACATTTACACTAGACACGTTTACGACACGACAACGACATAATCATCGCGTAGTTTGTATTCTTCAACACTAGCGCATCTGTATCTTGTCGTCGTGTCGTAATCGTGCCAGTGTAAATTTTGGCTTTAGAAGATCGTCATTAAAATCGATCCGTTGGCCGCGCATCTTCCAATTATGTTCTCTATGGAAACATATAATATACAACTTACCGGATCTATAGTCCAATCTCTGATGACGTCATCATCATCATCACATGAACATAGAATTATAAATGTCTGGGCTTTACATAAACAATAATCATTTACTCGTAAATCTCCTTTTGTAGTAAGGTGGAAAAACTGTAAAATAAAACAAAACTAACAAGTTTGTATATTTTCATGCTTTAAAATAATCATACAGAAATACACTACGGTGGTTATGGTAACAAATGGTATTCCTTTATGATGTTACATAGTAACAGTGCTATTACGTTATAATATATCATTTGTTTTATTAATCAACATTGTAAGTGGAATAAATTGGCCTGTATATGCTTTAAAATTTATAGTATATGTAAGAGCTATAATGAACCTGATTGCCTCCTTGCCCGTGGCATTTGTACACGCCCACTCGCCCACCACCGATTCCAGGCTGAACACCTCTTGTGTCCATACACAAAGAATTATACGTTCGAATCTGAAAATAAAAGACAAAAAGCAGGCCTATATAACAAGATATCAGCTCCATAGCAGTACATAGGCCCTTTTTCTTCGAAACTTTGCTTAAAACTAAAGGAGAATACAGTACGGTATTATGAATGTTTTATAGGCCTATAAAGATACGAGCGTGCGCATTGCCATGTCGACGACCATCAAGCGCATCGTCGCATTGCCATGTCGACGACAATCGGCGCAGTGTGTGACAGGGGTGGCGCCAGCAGTGGGGCCGGTCGGGGAGAGCTGTCCCTCCGTCTGGGAGAAAAAGCAATATTCGGCGGGGAGTAAAAAAAAATTATATGTATTTTCAAAATATTAGTAGACTATAAAATCGATTAAATAAGCCTTTGAAACCCCTAAATTGTCAAAATTTTCGGGGCTTAGCCCCCAGGACCGCTATCGACACCGTTTAATCGAAGCACGACCACGCCCACTTTCCTTTCGTCGGGGAAATCTGACCCCTCGTCGGGGACCTCGCCCCCCCCCCGTCGGGGACCTCGGCCCCCGTCGGGCAAATCCTTGCGTCACCCCTGGTGTGTGATGTGACCTGCTGATTTTGTTACAAAGCAACCATGAAGAAAAACAAAGATGATAGATTAGTATTAGTTTAGCTCACCTCTCCACTTTGTAACGGCAATGGCGGTAAAGGAAAATGCTTTAAAAGATCACTAGCTATATTCTCTATAAACCAACGGAACTTCTTGCATTTTTGCGTGGCGCGGAACTCTTTTTCTTTCCTTAGATCTCCTAATTGTAAGGTTGAGCTGTGAAGATAAGATTTCGTTGCATAAAAGTACTGTTTGTAACCGTCCATCCACACTTCTGCGACTCTTGCGTAATTCTATAAAAAATACAACCAGAAAGTACATTAAAATACCCGGTGTTTTCAAAGCATACTGTAAAACCTCGAAAAGAATCCCAATGCGCTTAATTTTTAGAAGAAGCCCATCTCGAATTGAAACCCCCTCTTTAGCTTGCACTAGTAGCCTCGAAAAGAAGCCCATGGGCTTCTTAACAAGATAACATGAGCTTTTCTTCGAGATAGTACAGTACATACACTGTACATGAATTTTAAAGCAAGAAAATACATGAAAAACACTCTTGGTTTATAGAATAGTTTAGGTGATTTGATGCTGGTTAATACACACCACGAAGCAGATGTTACAGTGGCCCTATTTTTTGTTTTATAGTAGTAATTCCAAAAATGTACAGCTTCATATTGCAAAGAAGCATTCAAAAGAAGCCCATCTCGAAAAAAAGTCCAGGGCTTCAATTCGAGGTTTTACGGGATTTCATACAAAAAACACAGACCGATGTGATCTGTGTAGACGTGAGAAGGGAATTTTTCGCTAAGCCACGCCCTTTAGATGATATTAGTTTCACAAAATGACAGCGTACACATACGTAAACATGTATATTAACAGGACAATATAGACAATAGACTTTTATTTCTCTTGAGAAACATCTCGAACTGAAGCCCCCTCTTTAGTTTGGCTTTCGAGTGGCAGCCAGCAAAAACATTACTGAATGAATGAATGAATGATTTAAAACATTTTGTTGAATCCGTATTTATCAATGAATTTTTGCCCTTTTTAATCTCAGTGACATTTTTTATAATATAATAAATTGTACATAATTGTTTTTCTTACTGTAGATAATTTGGGTTTTTTTTTCTTTGGTTGTAATTTTAATCATGTTTTAATGCTTTTACCTTTTTGTTTTGTGATTTCCGTTACTTTTCAATCTTTTTGTTGATTTTTGAAAATTTGTCGTTACTCTTCAGTTTTGTTTACGAAATTGCAAATAAAAAATATTTGATATTTGATTTGAACAAACGAAAGAGAACATTCTAAATATTTACTTAATAAAACAAAGAAAAAATGTGCGGAGAACACATTGAAATCTAATAAAGGAGTATCTCTTGGTGCAAAAATGATAAAAGCTTAACTAAAATAGGACATGCGCGTATTCCAGTTCCATGTTCTGATTGGTCAGTTGTTAATTGGTCTAACGACGCCATTGGCTGAGTGTCGTGATATCAGAAACTTTTGGCCTACCTTGTCTCGATATGACTGGAGTGTACCCTTTGGAAAGCTGTACGGCGGGCGTCCATTGACACGATACATGTGTCCAACCCTCGAACATGGCACCCATACTAACGAACCACCGCACATCCAAACCTGAAAATCAATGTATTATTAATTTCTACTCAAACGTCATTGGGATCGATAGATTCCTATCTAAGTAAATTGATAAATTCAATTTCTACATCAGGGACTAACTTTGGAAACAATCATTTGGATAATTTCGTTGAAACTGAGTTAGGAGACTTATTAGATGGAAGTTAAAAGGCACAACTTTTTATTTTTCATTCAACAAACTCTAGTCAACATTTACATAAGTATGGAACGTCACATGGTTTAATTTTGCATTTCATTTTTACATCGAAAAAATAAGATAAATAAAATGTTACTGATTGATTGATTAATTGTTGAAAAATCCAGCTGAAAAAAAAGCAGAGGGGTACCAACATTTTTATTTCTCTAATGTCTGTTCTTTACCTTAAACGATAGCTCGTAATTCTCACCACCCCACATTTCAAGACCTGGATCGAAAGCACCAATGGCAAAGAAATACTCCTTGTCTATAGCAAGCACGCCACCGGCGAGTACGGGTGATCTATGAATTCGACAAATTGGATGATAAAAGATATGTATGATTCATCATCTTCGTTCAATTGTTTACGATTTTAAATAAAAAAGCAACGTAATAAAAGTAATCACAGGGGATGCTGACTCAAGGATGTTGGCCTATCTATCTGGCCAATGTGCCCAAAATTTCTAAACAACGAAGTAAGGGTGTACCTGTATGGCTCTGTTTCATAACGTCGAACTTTTGCTTCGTTTTCCGGTAGCCCGCCGACACGTTTGTAGTCCAAACTCCAATCAAACATACCTCTTGCCAAAGCCCCTTGGGATTGTGGGTACATCATGAGGTTTATGCTGTCTATTATATCGAGAATTGGCACAGCGACTGTCGTCCTTTAAAAAGTAAAAGAATCCAACAAAACGTCATTGGATAAAAATTGGTCCATACATTTTAGGAGATCCTCTATAAATTAATGGAATTTCCCGGAGTGTCAATCAAACTTAACAACTGACCAATCAGAACAGGGCCAGAGATTACGCGCGCTACAAACACACGTTGTCCCACAACCGCACGTGTGTGAGGTACCTTAGCAACAACATAAAAGGGGCGGGGCTTAGTGGAAAGGACCATTCTCCATTATTGGAGCTTATGAGCAAATTTGTTTTCTTTCTCACAGAATTTAAAATTAGGACACTGATTGCAAATAATCACCATAACACGAAGCTGAAGTTTCTCTGTCGTCAATTCAATCAGGAAACCACCATGTTTTGGTTGAACATGCGAAATGTTATTCAATCATTAGAACATGGATTTAATTCCCACTAATTAACTGATATCCGGTATAATATCATGCCACGGAATTTTAAATCCATCAAACCATAATGGGTACCCCTTTCCACCCACTATACGGTCACACAACTCTCAAAAAAGATCAGGGGAAAATTTGGAGGGTACCGGGCCGGCCGCGGTCCCCTTTCGAAAAGTTAAAAAAAAAAGAAAGAACGAAAAAGAAATAATTAATCTCCCAAAACGCCTCAGAGGTTTTGGGCAAAATGAAAAGAAAAATTTCACGAGGACGTGCCTCCGAACCCCCTAGGGTAGTGTTTTCCCGATCGGCTCCCACATTCGGTCCCCCTTTCGGACATGTCTGGGTCCGCCTCTGAGATTTACAAAAAGATCTGATTTAATACGAACCTATTTGCCTTTACGACAGTCAGAAGAGGTGGTAGCCAATTTAGACCAACTTCACAATGGGAATCTAAAAACACTATCGTCTGCCCTCTTGCCTTTCGGGCTCCTAAAACCCTGGACGCAATAACGCCCTTGCGTTTGTCGTTTCTGAATAGTTTGACCAAGTGGCGATATTCAGGTTTGATAACTTCTGTGGATAACTGTAAATGTACTGCAAGGTAATAAAAGAAATAAATATTTATATCGAAAACCATCTAAGTTTCTTTTTTTTTTATCATCTATTAGGTATAGAAAAGCCTGAAAACTTCAGTGACAATAAAAATGGCATCCAACTTTGAATTAATAGCTTGTAGTGGCCTGGGAACCACGATAATTTACTTAGATAGGATCGATATCATCATTAAGCAAACACTTGTAATGGAATACTAGAGCAGAGTTTGTCAAGTCTAGTCATTATAGGCCTACTGTAAATAACGTTGCGATATCAAGTGTTTTAAGCCTATTCTTACCCATTGTACTCGCATCGTCGACAAGTATTATCTCTTGGATTAATATTGAGGGCGTACGATTAATTACGCTACGGATCGTCCGCAGCAGGGTAGACCAACCTTCATTGTGGAACGATATTATAACACTCGCATTTGGAAGTTGATGGGGATAGTGCCAGTGTTTACACCTATTAAATTGAAAAAGAAAATAATTAATATTGATAATAATTAACTAAAAGATTTAGGTAACTATAATTACAGTAGAAAGATGATGATGATGATGATGATGATGATGATGATGATGATGATGATGATGATGATGATAAGATAAGATAAGATAAGAACATTAACAATGTCAATAGCAATAAAAATAATGACCATAATGATAATTAATTCTATAATAATGATGTTGAGGATAATGGTTGTGGTGGTGGTGGTGATGATGATTATCATTATCATATTTATTATGATTCTGATGAAAATGATCTTGACGACGACCGATGATGATGATGGTGGTGGCAGTGATGACGTTCACCAGGCCTAATGATGAAAAATATGATTACTCTTCTTTTCGTAAATCCGGTATCGTTCTATCAAGCCCAATTTTGTCACTACTGTATTGGTTAAAGCTATACGTTATTATACTCCTCTCAACTGCATCCTTTTCCCATGGTTCAATTTTGACAGCGCGTCCATTTTCACCATGTCCTGAAGTAAGTCCGTATGCACGAGGCTCATAATTTCCCCAAATCGGTCGAATAACTGCTCCGAATACGTGATGTTCGGTACCACTCATCCAACGTAGAAATCCTGTTGCCATTCCAATATACGTATTGTAGTCCTTGTAGTAAAAATAAATTATTTTAAGTTGACTTCAATTGTATATTATCAATATTGGGGAAGTTTGAAACTAAATCAGTGGCACCGACCACGCTCAGGCGCTGACGGGAAAGGTGGTGGGGGGGGGGGGGGGGGGGGGCGGAGCGCCAGGGCCCCCAGGCACATTCTAGTTTAAAAAAATATAATATAAACTATAATATCATAGTTTAATACAATGGGGCCCCGACAGTTTTAAACATTGAAAATATACTGGCCTGGCATCATCATACAGAAACCGCATTATCTCAGGGCTCATAAACGATCACTGCAGTTTTTTTTGTTTATGTTGCGGTTTGTCTTGCGAGCCGCCACATGTGACTGCTATCGCGCGTGACACAAGCGTGGTGTCCCCATCCAGTCACTTTACAACGCAGTTAACATTTCATAAATGCCATTAGCTCTGAGCCAGGGCCTTCGCCCCCTGGACCCCGACCGAAGCGCAACGCGGCCCCCTGGCCCTCATCGTCTGTTAGTTCGCTCCGCTCGCAAACGTAACGCCCGCTTCGCTCGCTTAAGAGGGCCTCCAATAACAGTAACCGTCAAGGCCCCACAAAGTCCGTGACGTCACTGAACTAAATGTCAACTGTCCATTTACCATGGACGACCAGCAGTTTAGTCCAGTACAGTATATATATTCATGCAAATATATATTAGGTCCGATTAGCCAAACAAACGAGATCTCTTATAGGCTGTTAGACATATCTATTCAAACTATTACGGTATAATGTAAAATCTTCGCCTCCATCACGAGCATGGAGGATACCTCACTGTTTCGACCTTGGCCATGACTTGACACTCTATATAGATTTAATGCAACGATATGAAGAGAATAATTTGGGTGATATCTACACAACTGGGTATTAGGCTTAGCTTAGAATCAAGTTTAAGTCTGTAAAACTCGAACAGGTGTATACCCGTAGATCTACAGCAGGTGTGTATTTAATTATATTAATGTGCTACTTACCTGTTGCTTATAATGGCGACGGACGTGTCTCGGAAACATAGACAGATTGACTATGGTCATAACTACGAAGACGCAAACGAAGAACATCGCACGGCCGCGTCGGAGAAAGCGACACCTCATAATTCTTCGTCGTTGTTTCCGTCAGATCGTCACAAGTGTCTCGAACAAATACAGTAGTCATCAAAAAGCAATTATCATTCGAGTGAGAGTTGATCTATAATCCGCATTCATTGTACGGATGATGTGGACACTAGAGTAAACGAGGCCCTAGTGATACATGGTGATGAGTGGTTGATGTCCAAGCTTGAGTAGATTGAAAAGATAATAATAAGCTACAGTGATAATGCTGATTTTACCCGAAATAAACAACACTGTACATTATTGCTACAATGCTAAAACATTGGTTTAACAACGGTTCAGTGCAACCGTATGTTCTGTCTTGACGTGACAGCACGCGCTTTCTGGGCAGACGATCCAAATAAAATGCAGGAATATTGACTGGGATGAAATAGTATACACGAAGTTAAAGTGACAGTCCCGTTTTCACGTTGTGATTTTGGTTAGTCAGCATTCACGACCCTACTACTACACATGAAGAAGTTACAATCCTGAGTTCTTCAGCTTGCCATTGGCAGAGAGTGTTCTCAGTTGTAACGCGACTGACCATAGCACACCCTATGTGACGTAATCCAACAGACAACACGAATTTCACGTTTGAGCTACATACTTCAATATTGTACAACTAAAAATACAGAAGTGGTGAACGTTCTTCTCACATATCCATGCGTATGGATGGGTTCGATTGGAATTAAAGTGAGCCCAAAGTAAATACCAGAAGCTGGTATTTCGTCAATAATTTTAATCGACAAATATTAGTTAACTTGAATAACTTACGACGCGCAGTCCATAACTAAATAACCGTCTTTACTTAGTTTTAGGTTTCAGGGGTAGATAGACCATATAATAATCATGAAGTTGGACTTTGTGCGACATGGAGCCCGTCAAGACTGCAATCGGTCGACTGTCAACCGTGTACGGTAACAAAAGGCAACACTTTTCACACTTCGCTTTTGTATTGTATAATCGCCTATTACCACCTTTAAACCAAAATCAATTGAACTGAAAGCTTGTAAAAACAAATGACATGAACAGAGCACATAGCTCAAGAACCTATAGAAAATAATGGTACGGTTATTTAATAAAGGTGTAATGAACCGTTTGCCCTTTGTTGCGCTTAACTGCTGGGTATTATCCACATCTGCCCAACCACAAGTGTAGGCCTACTTTAAGACAGGTGTCGCAAGTTCAATTACTTCAATTTTCATAAGGCCTGAATATTGTATGCTTTGAATACACTTTGCGATTCATTTTCTTGGCAAAACGCTAATGATGACAACAATATTTTTTAAGGGACAACCGGGTAATCTATGGGTAATGTATTTGACTGTTATATTTCCATATAGACAATTTATCGCTGAATATAATCTAACAGTGGATTTATTATACAAATGATATACGGTTCCCCTGAGTGAGCACAGGTGCTGGGCTCTAGGCCTATACAAGATGGCAAAACAAAATCGAGGTATGAGGAGGCTACGGCTTCAACTAGACCTAGGTCTTACTTAAGACGATTCTCTGTCGGAATTTTACGTATGGCAACACATTATAGCGGGTGACGCAAGTCAAGTTACTATTATTATGCCTGTTGCTCCTGACAACCGCAAGTATACATGTTTACAGTGCAGGCATATTGTTTCACTGCAACAAAAAAAAAAGAAGGGAAAAAAAAGGTAAGGTAATGCCATATTGGATAAGACAAGTTACCAAAGATGCGTCACCACAGAACAACCGAATACAATATTGTAGGACCATTGGCTACACCATATATTTCTATTATAGTTTTATTGCAAGCGCAAATCAAGATATGTCACCAGAAAACAGTAAACACAATCCAGAACTTATAAAATAGGTCTATAACTCACTGCAAAAATGCGTCACGCCAAAATATTATGCGTCACCTAACAACTAAATACAGCAGCAAGAATACAGTAAGACAGTTTAAGTCGACTAGATAATATTCACTACAAAAAAAGAAAGCAGATTTGTTAGGCTCATAAACGCGTCGCATATCAGAAAAAGAAGAAAGATGATGAAAATGATATACTTGTTATCCTACCTGAGATTTGTAGAATGTTAATAGCGATGACGTAGGCCTGAAGATGATTCACTCGGCAGTACTCTGTCTTGTCTTTCGTCTGCACGCTTCCCTTATTTGAGCACAAGGAAAACACTACTATGGTAGCAACTAACTTTAAAAAACGACTCGCGTGTGACGTCCAAGTATAATACACGTCTTTGTATCGACGGACGCTAAGCGTGTTAAACACGATATAATGGGCATATTAATTACGCCATGCACGTACCATTGGAATCACTGCAATATTTTTGTCTTTCACTACTCATGAGCTTAAACATATAGATTATTATATAATCAACGTTATTAGAGCAAAGATTGAGAATGGAAACATCCATTTTGTGGTTGACTGACGCAGCACCGCGCCTGTTGATTCTGCATGCGAAGCGGATATTTACGTTCAACTTCCAAACGAAGCTTGATAAGTCTGAAACGCAATGCTCTATTATTATCAACATAGGCCTATCATCTTTTTTTCTTTTGGAGTCTTTAGGAGTGCAGTTTTTTGATGAAAAAAAACGCCGGACAGGAATGAACACAAAATGAAAGGCCAACCACACAGATATAGTCAATTTTTATTGGAATGGAACTTCATTTTACCTTGTTTTGTATGTTAACCAAATAGGCCTACAAACAATAAATCCATCAGCCCAACCCCCTCCTAATAAAAACTTAAAGATGAAAATTATGATAATATATTAACAAACTTATAATTGCAATAGAAATTATTAAGAGAAAACTGTTATTAATATTAGGCCTATGTGAAGAAGTTGTTTTTGATAAGGATAATGATTATGACAATTACAATAAAATAATAATAATAGTAATAATATTAATAATTAATTTGATAATAATTAGGCCTGTAACAAGTTATAATATAGGCCTACATTGATATTATTTTCATGTTTATTATTCCTAGTGTGATAAATCACTTATCCAACATAATATCGTTATCATCATCGCCACATTACACCCTATTCTACCTAAAGTATCGGTTACATTACAGTTAGGTCAAAATGTGCATCTTAAATTATGAGTTAAATATCCTTTTAAAACGCAACAGGTTGTGCGGCCTTAATAAATTAAAGTCGGCAAGTAACTTATTTCTATCTGATTAGGCCCACGGTGTTTAGTTAAATATAAAACATTTAAATTTAAATACATTTAATTCTGCAGCAATTATCTTATGTATACGTAGCCCCGCATATAGTTTTATTCAAGGTTTTCCTCAGTGGCACCCTTAGATACGAGGTACCTAAACATGCCGATAGGTCAATCATACCGACCCGACAACGCTTGGTGTTTCTTTCCTCCATGTGTAAACCAGGACTCCATGGTATGAAGATGCAATACAGATTTGTCTATAAAATGGTTTAATTGTATTTGATTTACACAAGTGTCCGAACATCGCCGACACTCTCTGGATCCGCCTCAACGGAAGAGGACCAAAGTTAGACAGCTCAGAATTACTGAAAAAGTTTTATCAATAGGCCTATCAGTAAGGTCACTCGCGTAGAATAGTGAACATGTCCCAATATTGTTCTGTTGTATCTCATTTCATTTATTATTTTCAGGCAATATAAAATACAATAAACAAAGACACAGCCTGAGGATAACCTAAAGTAAACTTAATTACTATCGGGAGGTTCTCCAAATCAACACCGAGGGAGCTACTTGATTACCAGGGCTCCATTTTAATTAAGAATGTCATGCTTAGAACTTCTATTGGTCTCATGCGTGAAGTTAGCAAGCAACTTCTTTGGCTGGTGGCAGTTCCAGGACGGTATTGCGTCGATAAATTCCAAATAGGCTTATTTCCACTCTCTTTAAGTCTTGCCCACACTATCACATTTTATGCGACAAATAAATGTGTCCATATTTGGGTGTAATATTCAGTCCAACTCAATTTACTCCGGAAAAAACAACAACATACAAGCAAAATGCAAACACCCAAACAAACGAAAATGTCAAATGCTGGCCCGGGGTAGGGCCTATATCATTATGCCCATATATGGGCAAATCACACAAATTTGTCACATCAAATGTGACAGTGTGGACGGAGCATTACACTAGCATCGTATAGAAAATTTTTGGTTGTTTGCTTGGCTTGAAAAAAAAGTGAAGCTCGGTTTCCATAGAATCACTCACCCTCGGCGACAGTCGCCGACAGATGGCGGGAAGGTTGAAGCTGGTTCAACTTTGTCGATTGCTTTGCAGACGAATCAGGGTGCACTGCTAGCTGGCCTGACGCAATCGGGAATGCACCCCGATACGTTTGCAACGCAATCGGCAAAGTCAAACCATGTTCAATCTTCCCGACAACTATCAGCGACTGTCGCCGATAGGTTGAGCGATTCTATGCAAAGCGACATTAAGAAGCCTAATTTATCTGCAAAAATACGTCTGCATTCTTTCGTAGTATGGGCTTACATCTTCATGTCTCGTCTGCGAACTTTAAAAAAACGATAAATTAAATGTTCAAAACCGCCCCCTTTTGGCACATTTTAAAATATAAATCTCTCTCGGGTGCAAAACTCCAGTACAATCACACGTCGTCAAGACCTCGTAGGCGATATTTGAAAGGCTTGAGATTTACTTTTGTTATCACATGGTGAAACAAATATAGAGTACTGCTGGTTGTTATGATCCAGACACATGTCACTTTTTGGCGCAAAAATCCTCTGACTCGCCTAGAAATACAAAATGGAGAGAAAATAATCGTTCAGACGTTCATGTTTGGTTATATTATATACCAAATACATTTGAAATCGTAATTGGCAATACCGTTAGTAAATTCACTCTGATGCCTTAATGTTTGAACATACGACTGACTTATAAACACCATTATAAGTGATAGTGGGACTTAGCCTAATTAAAAATACCATTCCTCAACAAAATTATAAATATCCTTACTGAATCGTATTTCCATATTTTGACGCTTTTTTCATTTAAGCCTTTGCGATTGCATTTTTGAGTTCGTATATGTCTCTCTTGATCAAAATATAAACAAACGTCATTGAAAAGTAATCTTCCTGCTTCGTCCATTCTAAACAGTTGATTGCCGCCCATTCCATGACATCTACCTATCCCCATTATACCGCCATCATCATGCCGACTCATTGTATCCATGCATGTATCTGAAATTACCGCTCGTACCTGCAAAGAATATAAACATTTATAAATACAAAGACGTAGGGCTATTCTGTTTCTTGTCTATTGTTTTGTTAGAATTTGTTAACTGTAGGTATACTGAACTGAATAAAAATAAATAAGTTTCAGTTAATGCCTTCCCATGCCATACTCCCGCGGATCAACAAAGCCGGTAGCAAATGAGATGGGGGCGTCTTTCTGGAGCGAGTCTTTTTCGGGTTCCCCCACGCTCCCAGACTTAATACACAGAGAATTCAGCCGGTCCAAAATCCAACTCCGCACACTGTGAGCTCTAGATGACGCGACGCCGTCTGCCGATTGTCGGTGCAGTCTGAACGGACCGTCATTAAAAACGATCCGTTGCGCGCGCGTCGTAGCGTTGCGTTCTTTATAGAATCGCGTCGGCCGACGACCGTCGGGCGCACTGAGTGCCTGGCTTTAGAAGCATTAAAAGAAACGCAGACAGTGGGCATAGTGTTGGTTGCGTTTATGTCAACGCATATAAAACGCTAGAGTGTGAATCAGGCTTTCGGATGCGCCACTGCATATAATATAAAAATATTCAGTACGTACCTCACCCCAAGCTATGTTCAGGGGTGGCGGAGGATAATGTTCTATCAAATCGTAGGCTATTTCTTCCATAAACCACTTGAAACTATAGGGGCAATTATCGCGGCGATATTTCACCTGAGCGCTAATGTCGCCATGCGGTTTGCCTCGTAAATCTGGCTTAATTGAGTAAAAATATTCTTTATATTCATCCAACCACACTTCAGCAACCCGTATATAATTCTGAAATTAGTAAACGTGTTATCAGATTAGAGCATTCGTTTTAAACACTACATGTTCATAGAAGAATCTTAGTAAATGCACAGAAAACACATTACCATAAATATTGTTATATTATATTAATAAAAAAAAATATAATAATAGGTATAAAATTGTATTAATAATAATAAAAATAATTAATAGACAAAATACTACCACTACTAATAAGGGCCTAATAATGATGATAAAATATTTATGAACATAGGGCCTACTTTTTTATTATTGATAATATAACAATATTGGTATTGTGTTTTCTATGTATCTAATAATGGATAATTTATAGGCCGACGTATAATAAAAAAAACCTAATAATAATTTATAATAACAGGTCTAATGATTATAGGTTGAGCACCTTTGTTGGAGATGTGCGCTTTATAAATCTTTATTATTATTATTATTATTATTATTATTATTATTATTATTATTATTATTATAATTATTATTATTATTATTATTATTATTATTATTATTATTACTATTATTATTACTATTATTAGGTTTACTATTATAGATATACCTAACCTCCGATTACAAATCTATTAAAAAGTCATTGCATTCATATTTTTAATTGTTCATTATTAATCGCCAAAAAACTGTTAATGTAACAGGGCAAGAAAAAGAAATATACGTCTCATGTCTGCAGAAGGTCATACTGTATATCGGCGGTATAGGCCTTACGACATAATTAGGTCACTTAAGCTAGACTACCTCAGCTGAAAGATGTGAGATGAACTGCAAATAAATGTCACGTGATAAAAAATTATACTCACATGATGTACTACCGACACACCTGTGCCGAGATCTTTGTATTTATATGGGACACCTTTACGGTAAATGTGACCCACGCGGGAACACGGTAAAAATAATAATTTGCCACCACACATCCATATCTAAAAAGGCAAGCACAGATGTGTAAACAAAATATAGTTATAAACATTTACATAATGAGATACATAAAAGCATTATGCTTTGTAGATACATTTTTTTAAAAATGTTTTTAATACCAAGTATTGGTTGTGTGTAGCGCACGGGATTCAACTTTTTTTTTCAATTCAATTTATTTTCACTTGTTCAATACATGGTATACAGATGGAATAAGTTCGGTTAGCAAAAATACCATTACTAAGCAATAACAGAATGTAACATAATGAAATCTCGGCCTAAATACCATAAAGAATTAGTGACGAAGACAGAAAAAAGTGTTGAAATAGTTGGCTCCGCTGTTAAACAGATGAAAAATGTAAGAAAATAATTAATATATAATAATTCACAATTATACAGAAGTGGATCAATCAGGTATGGACGAAAAAAGACTAGGTGAAAATTTCAAGAAGTAATTTACAGTCGTACATAGACTTTAAATTGGTAATACAATTCGGTAATACGTTCCAGAGTTCAGGGCCATGGTAAAAAATAGTTTTTTGCTTTAAGGTAAGTCAGTAAAAGAAGATGATAACGGCTTCTTTGCCTAGTAGAATAATTATGAAGCACATTGTTTTTAGAGAAAAGTTCGGATAAAACAGTGGAGGCGTCACCACTTTATAAGTGAAACATAAAAATACATACATTGTAATTATATATGATGAATAAAAAGTATAGCCGCGTTAGTCTGTACAGTATAGAAAGTATAAAGTAAAAAACAGCAGCACTTTTGAGACTAACTAACTAAAATTATATATTGTTAGTCTCAAAAGTGCTGCTGTTTTTTACTTTATACTTTCTGTAATTATATAAAAGTTCAAACACCATGATGATGGCGTAATGGTGATAACGTCAACACACAACGATTGTTTGTTATAATTAAATATTTGTTGAATTACCTTAAATGAGATTTCAAAGTTTTCACCACCCCAGATTTCCATTCCTGGGTCGTAGCCACCAATTTGAAAGAAATACGATCGATCTATTGCGAACAGACCTCCAGCCATTACTGGGGAACTTTAAATAGAATTTATCAATTCTTATATATTCTACATAAACAGTTACAGGCACAGTATTATCCAAATGACTGTTGTTGTACCAAACATTCCGTTATAAATAGATTTAACAGTCATTCGCTATTTATGCGAATTATAATGAGATACAATCAATAATTGTCAATCAAAAGTTGGTGTTTAGTATTCCTATGTATACTTGCTAAAATATTAACATAAGGCAAACATTACAGTACAAACATTAATCACAGATATGGTGGAAAACTGTTATGATGGATGAAGGATAAGGACGATTTCGCTGATCCTTATTCCTATCCCCGATCTTGTTTTATGAGATTCAACGACCGTATGGAATTCGTAAAAATACATATAAATTAACAAAATGTATACATCAATAACAGGCCCATGATGCAACTCAGTTAAAATAAGATATAAATTCAGAAATTCAGTCTTACTTAAAAACCCGGATAGGAAAAATTGTCAGCAGCAGTGTTTGGAACAGATTTTTTTTTGTAGCCACAAATAAAGCAAACGAAGCGATATAAAATTGTATTGGTCGTAGTTTTTTGTAAGGTTGCGAAATTTTAGAATGTCTCATGATCATTAATATCGTTATTATCATCATCAGCATCATAGCTTATTCTAATCATCATTATCACCATTCTCACTACAATCATCATAATCATTTACTATCTTCATTATAAATTTAATAATTATATCTCGAGATATTAATATGTACTGGTAATAAATTATTTTAAAATCATTCTTGGAATTGGAGAATGACTGTATTAACCACACATCCCCACTTTGTAACTTTACCGTATACAGACACACGGTACGGTAATAAAATAATGTGTTGTCCTTACTAGTACGGCTCGGACATATACTGCCTGCGTGTAATTTCTTTGCTGTATTTCACAGGGATACGTTTGTACCAGAATTCCCAGTCGAATGCTCCCCGACAAAGACCGTCTCCTTGGGGTCCATATTGAAACGTATCGGCTTCAACCGAATCCACTGTTGGGCAGACGACAGTTGTCCTAAAATAGGATAGAGAGCTTGATATTATCCACAGATAGGCCTACAACAAGTGGGTGGGCTCACCAAACATTAAGACGTCATTACGTGGGACTGTCGCATTAAACTTCAGAAATTGTTTATATTTACCTGTTTACTGCAATTTCTGCAAGTAGCGGAGGTAGCCAGTTTATGCCACATTCACAATGCGCATCTAAGAACACAACAACTTCTGCATCTGAATTTTCGGCGCCAATAATTCGTGCCCTTATCAAACCCTCGCGTTCTCTTGTGCGCACCAGTTTAATCTTGCCTAAAAATCGGGGTAGCTGGATGTATTCCTCCAACTTACTCTTTAAATGCTCTACATTAAAAAAAACTCGTGATTATAAAAATGACATTAATGTATGTGGGCTTATGGCTTGGGAGGAAATACGAAAATATTACTCGGTATTGAAGAGGACTCGAATGCAAAGAAGAGAGGTGCTGAGAGGATTCAGTCTATAATGTTTTAGGTCACCAGTAGGCCTACATATTCTCAAACATTACATTTCTAAACGTGGTAGGCCTATGTACATTTTTCTATTTTTTGAGTGCTTAGTAATATAATTTAATATATTTGATACTTTTCATTGGAGAATAAATCTTATCACTGTTAAGATTTGCCTCCGGTGAATGTGATTCAGTCACACGTGCTAGGAATAAAGTACTATATACGTGTTGCAAACATAATTCCTGATATTATTAGTAAGTAAATTTCCATGTCATGGGAAGGTATGTGATCAAGATTTAAGAGAGGTGACGATGTCGTAGCCAGCTATTGGGACAGTTGGGACAATCCCACACAATTTTTCTTATGAGTCCACATTTTTAAAATCGGTTTAAGTTATGTTTTTTTATTTGTTTGTTTATTTTATGAACAATGGGCCCTGATTTCTCATATTTAGCTTAAAATGGGTAAAAGTTTATGAAAATGGGTCCAGATTTTTCATATTTCTTCGTAAAATGGGTCCACATTGTTTGAATTTACGCGTAAAGTGGGTCCACCCTTATATTTGTCCCGCACTGTTTGAAAATCCTGGCTACGGCATTGGGAGGTGGGTAGCGGGGCTTGGGAATATCTTTACTCTTAACTTTACTATGCTTTAACATTTACCATTATCATCAACATCTATTATTATATACTGTATCATCAACAATATCGTTATTATCAGCATCGTCATCATAATCAATGCGATCATCACCATCATCAGCACGATTATCGATATTAGGTCTAATCATCATTGTAACTGATCATCATCCTCTTCCAGATTCAGGATCATTGTCAATAAAGATTATTACCAGTATCATCAACAGCATTATAAAAGTCATCATCATTTGACAGTTATGAAATTAATGATAATGATTATAATCATCATAAAGTATCATCATCAACATAGATCTAGATACTACCTTTTTCACTAAAATCGTCCACCATAACAACTTGTTGAAGCAGGTGAGCCGGTGATGCGTTAAAAATACTATGTATAGTGCGCATGAGCGTTGACCAGCCCTCATTGTGGAAAACAACTACGACACTGGCTCTTGGAAGATTTTCGGGATAATGCCAAAATCGACACCTGGGAAAAAGATGATAATCAGGAAGTTAAAATAGTAAATTACATTGATGATCGATACAATGAATTAGTATTTATATTTAGTGAAGTATTTTTAGGAAGCCTCATCCCTCTTGAATTGAATGAGAGAACCTGCCTTAAATATAGGCCTAAGGATTTGTGATAGCTTAGAGACAGTATATATAGTGTCTGTATTTCCAAAAGTAGTTTATTGAGTACACAAACGTTTACGGGCATCGTCCTTTATCATGTATACGTACAGATAGGGCCTATAAATAAATACGAGTATAAATAAATATAATACGGACGTAAGATGATTGACTATAGAAACATATATATATATATACATATATATATATAATTATATAGATATATATATATATATAGATATAAGATGATTGACTATAGAAACATATATATATATACATATATATATATAATTATATAGATATATATATAGGCCTATATAAAGCATGAGTAACATGGTACAGGAGGAAAACAGCGCATGCGCATATTTAATTCAAGATTTCATATAATTTCGTAAATTTCACAACAGTAAGGGAATTATATTAATACACATGAGAATCTGATCAAGTAAGCGGGGCAAGATGTCAGTGCATTCAAAAGATGACACATTCGGATGATAATATAGCTATAGGGTTGATCGTCTGATTTGGCAAACGATAAGTTTGGTCGTCTGATTTTTGGCAGGCGATATTCGTTTTACATGACAGCGTTACGATGAATCTAATTATGGAATCAGACAAACATTTATAGATGAATAATCGACTGAATTCCTTGACATTTATCCGAACTTGCCGCTGTTCATCATAATGTAGGCCTACTGTCTGTTTATACACACAAAACTAACTTATGACAATAATACACTGATTCAAATTTTAAATCACTTAGGTCAGAAGTTAAAAACATAAACACATGTGCCTGGAATTATGCCACTGATGCGCATACTCATAACTATACACAGTAAGAATGCTATGAAAAGTTATTTGAAATATATCAAGAATAATAATATATCAACCTTTATGTTCCTTTTATTCTTTTTCTAATAATATAATTACTAAATAAGACCTTCCAAGAATAATATGACCCTCTCAATACTCCAATTAATTATTCTATTGTAGGATGGAGTTCTAGCTTATCACCGTTTCGATTTTTGCCTTCAAATCCCAAGAAAGTCCTACTTTTTTTTTATTCCTCTCACTAATAATAATTAATAGGCCCAATTGACTGTCAAGTAATCGATAATTAAAACTACTGAAATCTCCAATCCATTTCCTTATTTATGGCCATTCATCTTTTCTCACCATCTAACTGGTTTTTTTTTTAATATTGTTGTTGATGGTTTTTGTTTTTTTTTTTCTTTGTTTCTTCTTCCTCTTTTTTGTTCTTTTATTCGAGTTCTATTGGACATTTAAAGCGCACAGAGACCAATGGTATTATGCCTACACTCATTAGCATGAGTATTGTGTGAAAACAAAACAGTAGAATTTAACTGAATTCCATTTTGATTTCAATCAGTCAATCAAAGTGGTTATTTCGATGCATAATTCAATATTGTTCGAATTTCAAGGGTATTAAACATTTTAAAAATGTACCATAGTGTAATAGAAAATATTAAGTAAAAATGGTCACGTGAAAGCTTTTGGTTGTAGATTGGCAGAATAAGCAGTGTTATTATCATGCATAGTCTGCGTTGTAGTATACCGTGCGATGTTCCCAAAAACGACCATTTTGTGGCAATAGTCTTTTCCGGTTTGTAAGTTAAACTGAGCAACTCACCAATTACAACAGGGCCAGGAACACGCGCACGTCCCATAACACATGAAGTTGTGAAACAGGCGCACGTCCTAAACAAGGTTTTTACTTAAGTTGACAATTTCGACGGACGTTATGCAACAGTATTTAAGGGGTGGTCGTGAGGCTTAGTGGTAATGTTTTTCCGAGGCACTCGGGATAGTTCGTCGAAAATAGTATTATACTTACTCGGGGTCACGAATATCCGGCACATTTCGATCTAGCGATATTCGATCACTTATCACCATGTTGAAACCGTAGTTCTTTAGGGCCTTTTGATAGTCCGCCTTTTCGGCCTCGTTTAATTCCACAGGAACCCCATACTCACCCAGCGCGTGCCTAAGAGGTTGTTTTTTAGGCTCGTAATTTCCTATGACACCTTTTCGCAGTATTGGGGGTTGGACGCGTTTGGCCTGGTCTCCAGAATGTGTTTGGGACTGCGGCGGATGTTCATCTTGAACACTGAACTGAATAAAAATACATTGAATGGCGTGTTAGTATAATAATCTGCATTTCATTGCACATATTCTCGACAATTAGCAATTAGTAGTACAAAAAAGTCTGTGTGAGAATATATATATATATATATATATATATATATATATATCAGTATTCTTAAAGTC